AGACCTGCTTCTCACCTCTGAAGTGCAATCAGCAAGTCACACTTTTTAACTGGATCACAGTAACAAAAAAATAACCAAAGTGGTTCTATTGGGTTTACTTGTCAAGGTTGTGGGCGTAGGTTGGGGGCTGCAGGTGTGGCCTCTGAGAGAAGAGGCCAGGGGATGGCTCATGCTGGACACAGCTGGTTCCAGATGGCTCCAAGATTAGCAGCCAAAACTGTGGTAACATATTTAAGAAAGGGTAAAAAACGCTGCATGGCAGCTTTGAGAGAGAGAAGTGAGAGAAACATGTGAGAAAAAGCCCTGCAGACATGAAGGCCAGTGGAGAAGGAGGGTGAGGAGGTGATCCAGATGCTGGAGCAGAGATTCCCCTGCAGCCCGTGATGAAGACTATGGTGAGGCAGGCTGTCTTCCTGCAGTCCATGGATGACCGCAGTGGAACTCATATCCACCCTGCAGCCCATGGAAGACCCCACAGCAGAGCAGGTGGACGTGCCCTGAAGGAAGATGTAGCCAGTGGAGAGCCCACACAGGAGCAGACCCCCGTCAGGAGCTGCAGCCTGGGGGGAGAACCCACACTGGAGGAGTTCATAAAGGACTATTATCTCATGGAAAGACTCATGCTGGAGTAGAAGAACAGCATAAGGAGGAAGGTGAGGCAGAAGAGCTGTTGTAGACTGACCACAACCCCCAGTCCCCATATGCCCTTCACCACTCATGAGGGTGGAGGTAGAAGAGTCAGAAACAAAGGAGTGGAGCCGGTGAAGAACCCAGAAGGGCCAGGGGGCAGATGGTTTTAGTTTTGTCTTTGTTTCTCACCATTTTACTCTATTTTTAATTGGCAGTAAAGTAACCTTTCCCACATTGAGTTTGTTTTGACCATGATGGTAATTCATAAGCAATCTCCCTGTCTTTATTCCAACCCATGAGCTTGTCAGTCTTTTTTTCTCCCCCAGTCCTGTTGAGGAGACGGCAGCAAGCCAAGGTCAAACCCACCACAGTGGTGCAAGGAGAAGCCCCTAATTTACCCAGTACATGTTTTACAGTTAATTTTGGCAACTCAAGGCTGCAATCCACTCCACTCTATTTTCAATTCTGTAATTAGTACTAACTGCCAGCCAGTGTCTTGGAAGAAGTTTGTCCCAGGATGGTCTTGATCATGCAGTACTGTCACAGTTTATTCATATTCATATTCAACTTATTTTAAACTTACCTTAAAAATTTTCCTCTCAAGAAGTATAAAGATTTGGTGTAAACCCACATTGGGTAAAATGAAAGAGTTATTTCTAATATGTATTACACATAACCTGAGGAAGAAAACATGACCCTCCTTTATTAACTTTAACCATGGGCCATGTTCATCCCTCCAAAGGAATAGTCACTCATATCAGCAGACAGTTCTCTGTTCCAAGGAGAAGTATATATATATAACGTACTTGAGTTATATTGTCTTCTTCCTTCTGTCAGACAAGGTTTTGTGTTGCAGCGGTTTTGGCAGCTGTGATCCTCCTCTTCAGACCTTTTGGTTTTTTTCTCCACACACAGTGTTTGCATCTCTGGCACACACACCCCCAATTTATGCTGAGGCTCAGCTTTCAAGAGTTCATCTGCAAATTGAGGAGTAAAATTATTTTTTTCCCTACTTAGGCACAGAGCAAGCAGTGTGGGGAACCTAGGCAAGAACGCCAAGTGTCATAGACTTTACAACAAAGGGAAATGTTACAAGGGGTGCTTACAGAAAAGCTAATAAAAAGATCTGAATTGTAGCAACTCTTTCCTCAGAGAAGGATAATGTAGTAAAGGTACAGTGTCCATATTAAGAAACCTTCAAGCCCTGGCAGCATTCAAAACTGAGGTTAGGATCCTCTGTCTACCTGAGGTTAGCTATTAGGAGCATCTTCCTGATGTTAGGAACTTGTGATGTTGAACTGTCACAAGAAACAGATATTGGGCTTACACTTATTAGACACAAAAACTCAGACAAGTGATCTTTTGAAAAGGTTAGCAGAGAAGCTACTAACATTAGAAAATGCTAGACCACTACCTGGCTTCTCAGAAAAAGGAAACTTTTACTTCCTTAAAACTGGTAAAATTGAGAAGACACAAGAATGAGCAGTAAGCATAAAAAACCTAAGACCTTTAAAATGTTCTATATTCTTTAGGTTTCCCAAGAAAAGGCCTAAAAGCCTGGATGCGGGTAATATTATTTTGATGACATAGTAATATTAATTTAGAGCAAGCATACCTTTGAGACAGATGTCCTCCTAGTGGAAATATATTGAAGCTGTATTCTCCTGCACCATAACTATGTCAGTTTAGCCATGCACCAAAAACTGCTCTTGAAACTGCCTCAATTATATTGTTTGTATGCCTTCTCCTCACTGGATTGCTGGTCTTACTACAGCTATCAAATATTCATGTGCATTGATCTCATGCAAACCAATCAAGATTTACAACAAAATCAATTATGTATTTTAAATTTCCTGTATTTGTGACTTGCTTTTTGTTCCCCCTTGTATTTTGTCTTTAAGTTCCACTTTTTCCATTGCTTTATTTAATTCCTCTCTCAGTGCTTCCAGAATTGTGAATGACTTCTCTTTTTTCTTTTTCTACTTTATTTGTTTCACAGCTGCCATACAGTCATCTCTCTCAATGGTCTGTCACAGCAGGAAGGGCAGCTTGTGGACCTTGCCATCTTCATATTCCAGCCTCAAAGTTAGTATAGGTGCAAACCCACTTCATCCATTTGCCTTCAGGATCAGTTGACTAAAACTACCCATGAAAAGAACCGTAACTGAAACACAGTCCCTGAAATTTCACAAAGCTGCAATAAACAAATGATGAGTCTTTGCCAGCATGGTCAGCAAAGGATCACAACCTCTCTAATCACGTCAGTCTATGACTTTCCGCTTGTGCAAAAGCTAGAGAATAACAGACTTCTGAATTTCAGCTGTCTACCTGAAATAACTACTTTTGGTAATTACTTTAATACTTCTTGTTTACTTTTTTTTTGTTTGGTTTACTTTTTTTTTTTTTGCTTTGTTTCTTTGCAGGAAGTCGTTTTTAGAGGGTACCTTCTCTAACTGCAGCAATATAGATCAACTCCGGTGCTGTGCTCATTTTTATCCAACACGCTTCTCTGCATCTATAGCTGTGTAAGTAATTAAGGCAGGGGGAATGAAAAAAGAAAACATCAGCCCCCAAAGCTTACCCAAACCGCTCTCTTATGAATACTCGGTGTCCAGCTCTGGTGTTAATACTTCTTGTGCTGCAGTGGCAATACTGCAATGCTTTGTAGATGATTTGGCAAGAGTCACTACCTGTGACTTACTGTTCTAATTTGCATACAAGACCAACTAGATACAGTCATCGGCTGTAACTGAAAACCATTACTCTCCATGGAACAAACAAGTAGGAAATCTTATCCTCTTCCCCCAGATTTCTCATTCCCTTCCCGTAAACTTCTGTTACCAACCTCTACTAGGTTTACAGAGGAAAGGCCTTTTTAGGATGGTGCTCCACCAGAAGTTCAGCCCTTAAATAACAGACACACTAGAAAGGCCCCCTTTTTTCACAGACTCTTTATGGTTGGAAGGGCCTGTTGAGATCATCGAGCCCAACTACCAAAAAAAAACCCAAAAACCCATGACTGCCAAGCTAGCATGAAGTTATACAGTATTCCTCTACCCAGAAGGTACACATGTAATGAAAATTTTTTTGACAAATGATGATGCAGATTTGAGGTCTCACAGTCCACCCCAAAGCTATCTATCCTGCCTGATCTAAGTGGTGACATGTGGAGGCAATTCCCCCTTCTGCTGGCAGGGTCTCCTAGCGCCAGCCTGGAGAACAAATCTTCTCATTTTCTTGTTGGCTTTCAGAACATCGATCCTGCTTACTGTGCAGATACATGAACTTCCAGTGGGAGCTCACATCTGGGATGAGGAAAGGACAGGAGGGTCCTTCAGGTGTGCCTCAACCTGCCAAACCATACTGTACTCCAGACAGCGCTGATGCACAGGGACAGCGTTCAAGCTGCTGCAGGCCGCAGTATTCAGGCTGTTTTAAATGAGGAAGGTGCGTTCCTCCAACTTCCTATTTCCTTGGAATTTATTTTCGTTTTCTTTTTAATTACGCTGGTAACATATTAAGAAGCTGCCCGCCCCTAAACTCCACCTGCGTGTTTCACAGCTCTCCAGACCCTGTGGAGTGCATTTGTCCTCGGGCAGACATTTGAGGGGACAGAGCGAATAGCAAACCAAGGTTTTACTCGGGACTCCGCCTGGACAGGCTTTGCTTTCCACGGCGGCAGCTTTCGCACCCGGGCTCCCCAGCCGGGTCTGCTCCCCTCCCACCGACACCCCACTCCCGCCTCTCGACCTTTCCACCCACTGACCCACCGACCCCCCCACTCCCACACCCCACTCCCGCCTCTCGAC